ACATTAAAATATCTCGAAAAGGAGACGTGGGATTAAAAAAAGTTTCAGACAAAAATTTCAATAAAATAAAAAATATTTTATTATAGTGTTTTAAAAAGCTTTTAAGGTAAGGTATGTGAATATACAATGAAAAATGGGGAGTTCTTTTTAAAAAATTCAAAGTAATCTTGCTCTGACCTTGACAACGTTACCCAAGATCATACCTATGGTACCATCTTATATCTCTCTCAAAGTCACATAACTTTTGCCTGAAACTTTTTTTCAAATTGGACTGGCCTAATTGTATCCATTATTTTATAATTATATATAGAATACTTTATATAATTGTTGTTCTTTAATATATATATATTTATATTTTTTTTAATGCTATGAACTTTCGCTATAATATGAAAATGTCAAATACAAAAAAAATCGTAGTTTTAATTATAATATATTACATGCAAATAACAATATTTTTATATGTGTATACTTTCAAAAAAATTCGCAAATTTTATTTGAAAATATAATCAATTTGTGATAAATTAGAATATTCGCATTACTTTATATAACTTAGACTGTAAAGTCCTACCTTAATATGATAAAACTCTGGCAGTAAATAAATCTTTGATATACTTTCTATTATTTGAAATAATGGTTGCCATGCCGCATATTCTCTCTCTTGAAAGAGATAACTTATCAGGTGGACGAATAAATATCCGTTTATCCGCTCAGCAAACACCATAGCAAGCAAATCAATGATGATTTGAGCACGATTAACAACATGTATATTTTTATATTCTTCACTATTTAAATAATGTGCAATTTTTTGATAATTCTTGATATCGTAACTAACACGATAATACCCTATTGAATTTTTATTACATACATTATTAAATCTTTTTAATTGAATTTATTAAGATATATTTTTACGTATTTAAAAATTATGTTGCATTAATTAATGTTTGGCAAAATTTAGAAAATTTAATCAAATTTCCTTTAAACTTAAACTTTTTTATAAATAAAAAGATACATAAATGCATTGAATGATGTAAAATTTTTGTAATGATAGACAAATAAAATAAATAAACAATGCGTAAATTGATTCATACTTACCAGTTTGTTGTAAATTGACAATAATCCAATCATCTGGGTTAATTATAAAGCTTATATTATGTTGATCTGGTCGTAACCAATAATGAGGTACAGTATTGGAGAAATCCGGATTGGACTGCGTAGCGAAAGTTATAGGAATCCACCACTTAGTAATTTTATTCTCAGTCTCACCATATAGCCAGACACATGTTTGTGATATTGTTACTTCGCCAGTTTCGTAATTTCTTACCACGTCTACAAAAGGATAACGTTCTTGATTCATCCAAGTATCCATTACTTCTTTTATTCTATAATCTTTATATGGGACATCAGATTCATCTAGAGCACTTTGCATGGCGCTCCACAAATCATCTGGACTGGCTGAGCTAAATTGACTAAATTTGAAAAATGGCAATTGTCAGTTGTTGCAGTTATATATATCGGAAAATATACATTGACTATTAAAGAATCTATGCGAATATTAATGTACAATTGAATATATATATATATGTAAAAAAATTTCAAATATAATATAAAACTATAACTTAAATTAAATTATAATTAAATAAGAAGTAAGAAACGTAACCTATAATTGAATAATAATGAGATATTGAGCATTTAAATTCAAATTTCTGTCATATTATATTTTTCAATATGGATGCAAGTACTTGTTACATCCATGTACTTAATATTGTGATATATAATAATTTCAGACTACATTATACACTTACTGCGTAGTCAAATACGTAATAAGACCCTTTCTAAATATCTCATCAGTAATTATATTATGTAACATGCGCAATAAAAGTGGTGCTACGATAATAAACATAAAAAATGTTAATTAATAATAATTAATACATATTCAAAGTAAAATTAATATCTGTTATATGTAAAGGTAAAGAAGAATTAACTCTTTTTATCTTAACTCGTTTTATCTTTTATTTTGTAAAGAATCCATTACAGAATTCATAAATAATAATTTTATTTTATTTACATAATTTTACTTTTTAATAAACTACCTTTTTTATAAACTTCATCAGAAAACAACGACTTCTTTTCGAGAGTATTGCCAAGTTTCAATGTAACAGAGTTCATTGAGCTTATATCTTTAAGAAAACATTGCTGTATTGTTCGAATTAGAAGAAAATCCATCAACCGCCAATCTTGGAAAATCTGAAATAAGAAATGTTTTGCTGTGACTAAATATTAAAAATTCGAAGAGAAGCTCGCATTAGAAATACAAAATCAGTTTGTTTACCATTTCCACGGAAATGCTATTCTACATTTCATTACATCGAATTGTATAAACACTTTCAGATCGAATCTTTTTCAAGAAGAGCATACCTAGTTTAATTATTTTTAAAAGTTTTTTGAAGATTACTTAATATAAAAACAAAATTAAGAATATAAAAATTCAAAACGTTAAATTTTATTAGTTTACTAAATGCTAAATATAACGAGTGCAGAAAATAAAATATTTTCGAATTCTAATGAAAATATTAGTGTTCTTACGATTTTTGATAAAAAAAATTAAAATAGTAAATCTTTAATAGATAAATAGATAATAACAAACGATCTTTAATTTTCAACAGGAATTTTTATTAAAATGTTTATATAATTATTTCAAAAAACGCACACTTTTTTATAATTCTAAATTAAAGCATGTCCTATTTTTTATTCAGTTACTCTTGAAAATATAGTATTTAATTAGCATTATTTTAAGAAATACTTCAACACCTTTTTTTATAATAACACAATCTAAGATTAATAATAATTGAGCAACCTTGTTTATTATGTACGTTTCGAAGAACGCAGCAAATCCCTCGCTTAACCACAGATAGGGCCACCAAGATGGAGTAACCAAATTGCCAAACCATTGATGTGTAAGTTCGTGTGCTATTATTAATGCTACTTCTGTTTTCCGATATATTGGATCGCTGCTGTCATCGTAGATAATTTTTGATTCACTAAAAAGACACAACATTACATGATATAATTATGTAAAATATTTCTAAATATGCAGTCAAATGTTTTCCGAGTAATTATATTATTCATAATACTCATATGCGAATAACTCAATTTGGTTGTTTCCTTTTTATAATGTAAAATATTTATGCGTGTACAAAAAGGAGGAAATGTAATATATTAAATACGTTAACTATTTATAACAATCTAAGTATGATAATATATATTTTTGAATATTTATGAGATAAGCACATGTTTTAAATTTCTAAGTTTAAATACTGAACGTAACGTTGATTAGCGCATTATAATAGTTTAATTAATTTTTTAAATTATAAATATTACTCATAAATGATGAGTCCCCAATTTTCCATGCCACTAACTGTAAAATTCGATATCAAGACGTGATCCATTTTTGGAACCTTCTGAGAACTATTAGTATATTGAATTAAGAATTCTACGACCTTTTCAGCAATACTGTGTGCGAATTTTACTTTCGACGATAAAGACGACTTGCACCACATATTGATTGTCTCATTTGCATTAGGAACGCGGATAAAATCGGACATTACAATCGCTACAATATAAGTAGACATTATAGGAGTGATGTCAAAGTGTGTCTGCATCATGCCATCTTGTTCTAAAAATTGCTGTCGTATTGGCATATTCGACAATACACCATACTTTTGATGATGCTTTACAGAAATGTTGAAGGTGGCTTTTAACGCTGGCTCGTCCCAACATGGAAACATTCTTCTGGCGTCATTCGGCTCGAAATACGTTACAGCTACCCATTTACTGTTTTACAAGTATACTACTATTAAATGATAGCAAATTTTTTACTTATATCGACTAACAATAAGCATTTAATAAATTTAATTACTGTTTATTGTTATCTATCTTTAGTACAAATTTTGTTGAACGTAAAAATCGAAATGCCGCATAACTACGTCGTTTTATTTAAAATTGAAGTTGCCTTTTAAATATTACAATATGTACGAATTTTATATACATATGTGTGTATTGTATATGTACATATATAAAATAATTATATATAGGGGAGAATGTTCTAAATCGGACCGTGTTCCAAATAGGACCTTTTTAATTTAAACAAAATATGATTAAGCAGATTTGCGTGCTATTTATAATGTAAAGTCCTTATAAGACACCGAAGTGACAGCAGTTTTGACAATTCTCTGTCATAACGTTCATAGAATAGACGCAAATATGTATTTTTAGTTATCGTGCAAAAATTTTTTTAAAAAAGAAAATCTTTGTAAATCATTATTTAAAAGACGTTAAAAATTTGAAAGATGATTTAAGATAATTAAAGAATGTAGAATTAAAAAATATCAAGCGTTTTGTGATTACTTTTGCGATTTATTGTAAAATTGGCTCTCAAAAGTTCGAAAGGATCCGTGTCCAAATCGGACCTCTCTTTGGATGTCCAAATTCGACCTACCAATCAATAGTTCCAAATCGGACCCGAAAAGTCGTTTTTACATTTTCCATTATAGTTCAATACAGGTGAGAGATACGTCAAAATAGTCTGCAGTAAAAATGAAAAGAATTAAATGATCTTTCCAACGGTATCTTTGGTTTTATGATCTTTGATCAGACTTTATTTACGCCTTATAGAGAGTAAAAACTGCAAATAGGTCCGATTTAGACTACTCTCCCTTACATAATTATACTTTCTCTGAAGAGCTTCTAAAGTGTGGTAACAATGATAAAAACAAATAAAGATAGTAACAGAAAACTTTTTACGTTGCTAATAATATATTTTTTATATTTTAATATTTACTTACGTGTCGTTTCCTTTATCAATTGTGTACGGAAATTTCATAAAACCTCCTTGCCGAGATACAGGTAATAGATTACCAGAAAATTTCATATTTAAGATGTAAAAACCGGGTAATAATATATTGTTAAAATTCAGTGTCAAACTGTTCGTTACATTATTATGAATATGTTTCATCGGTTTATAAACCGTATTTTTGTCATTAATCAATGTTGTCGTTGTTTCATTTATTTCTAAATCTCTCGAATGTAAGCTTATTTTTGACGATTTATAACGAATCTCGATATTGACATTGGATTCACCATGAAAAGTAAAGTTGCCTTCTTCGAGATACAGTGTCAGATTGATGTTATAATGAATAGGTATCGTGTTGTTGGGTAAACGATCAATAATTTCTAAATTATTACCGATGCAAAAAATCATTTTTGTAATCAATATTACGCCAATATTTAATAACAATTTTAGGAATCTCATGATCTCGATTGTTTCTTTACTTATAATCTACAATTTTTCGTTAAATGTGAAATAAATATAATGTCATATTATAATTTCTAAAGTTATTGTAATTTAATGTTAATTTTTATATAATATTAGAAAAAATAAAAATAATAATTTTTGCAACTTTTATTAATAGAATTATGTATAATATCTACTTTGGGAAAATTATGAATATTTTGTTACATTTGATATTGTGTAGGTATAATATTTTAATGCATTCGTAATTAATTAATTCTTATTTCTATAGAATTGTCTCTTGAAAGAAACAAAATAAAAAAAATATATTTAATCTAAAAGATAATTTTAAATATCTAAATAATTTTTTGTATATTTAACTTCATAGAATATTTGTCATCAAAAAATGTAAACACATAATGTCAATATGGGAAAGAATTATTCATGGGTCTAGTTAGATCTCAAATGTTCTTGAATAATTCTGTGTGATTTTATGTATACTACGTAAGAACGTAGTTCTTTAAAATTAAATTGTTAGTCAATTTAACTCGTCATATTACTGCGGTAGTTCAGTAAAGTTGAGTTTCAAAACTGAAAACTTATTTCAGCGCGCAGCCTACATAAAAGCCTACATACTTAGTATATAAATTCACAGAATTATATAACCATTTATTCAAAGAACGGAAAGTTTAAATCAATTTCTTGTTCGGATTATTTGATCATTCTGATATATTTTTGTTTAATATATATTTAAAGTTTACTAAGAATTTGTTAAAAAATAAAATTTTCTCAGGAATTATTAGATACTATTTTAAAATTATAGTTACCATTTTTCTCAGTTTTCAAATAAATTCAAAAAGTAAAAATAAGAAATAAATTAATTTTTAATTTATATATCTAAAACACATTATTAATGAAATTCAATACAGTAAACGTATTTTAAAACTCTTACTGATCTATTATTTTTGTGTATGAGTTTTGTTTATCTTAATACTTTTTTTGTATCATTTCTGTAGAAATATTCCTCAAACACAGATACATGAAGAATTAAATATAATATATGAAATAATTCAAATTATTTTTAGAAATAAAAATAAAAAACTTTTTTCATTATTAAATTGTTTCTATCTATTTACCAATAATAATAATAATCTGATTTTTAGTTTAATTAAATATTTTTTTGTTTACAACTCTATGTGTGAAGATTATTTTGAAATTATATTCAATATCTCGTTTTTTAGCTTTCATTATTAATTGTAATATAATAGGGGTAGAATATGTCGATTTATTAAAAAAAAATATATTAACTATAAAAATTCGTAATTAATGAGTAGAAAATCTCGAAGAAATAGATTTAAATTTAGTCGTATTTTGTCTTTTAAAATTATTTGAATTATGTTTTATGTATTCTTTTTATATAATGTGCGAAGGATAAACATCCATTAAATTATTTTTTTTAACGACTTACATTGTATATTACACCTTCGTGCAGATCAAAATACAGTTGATTCGCAGTAACTATAGTTGATTCATTATAGTTCTCGATCTTTTAATATTAGAAGCACATCAGCGTAATTGTGATGTCGTCAAATCGTCTTGCCATCTCGAAAGAGATTTCCGAATGAGTATATACAATGTTTTTGATGTCGTAAATATATCATAAGGTCAATATAAAAGGTAAACTTTACCAAATATTGGACTGTCTATTTTTTGTTTTCGACAACAAATATTGAAACTCATTGAATTAAAAATAAAAAGCTTTCTATAGAGAAACTATATAATGATGATAATTTAATAAATATTAAAAATAAATTAATAAGATTATTTTCGACAGTGTAAGTAGATCTTTTTTTAATAACAAAAATTTAATATTTAAGATTACATAAATCCAGAGACACGATAATGGCTCGGCGGTAAGAATATAATATACATACATATAATAGAATAGGAAAACTACTAGTATATATTTTCAGATTTTTTGCGATATTTTTAATAATTAGAAATAATTATTAAATAATTAGAATTCAAATAATTAGGTTCAAATAATTAGAATAATTGAATAGAAAAATGTATTTAATAATAATCATGCTGTATGATTATAAGATAAAGATTTTGATTTCTTTCATCAAAATTTTTTTCCGATAAATATATAACTAATTAAAAAATATATACTGTTAAAATCGTCGTATTATATTATAGAAGAGGAGAGAGAGAGAGAGAGAG